TTCCTGATATTAAGAACAAAATTTCTGGGATGCCTGGGTGGCTCAGTTGGTTAAGCGGCTGCCTTTGGCTCAGGTCATGATTCCAGGGTCCTGAGATCGAGGCCCGCATTGGGCTTCCTGCTCAGCAGAGAATCTGCTTCTCTTTCTCCCTCTGCCTGCTGCTCTGCTTACTTGTGCTCTCTATCTCTCTGTCAAATAAATCAATAAAATCTTAAAAAAAAAGAACAAAATTTCTGCTTTTTTTTTAAGATTTTATTGATTTATTTGACAGGGAGATCACAAGTAGACAAAGAGGTAGGCGGAGAGAGAGGGAGAAGCAGGCTCCCCGCTGAGCCGAGAGCCCGATGCGATGCGGGGCTCAATCCCAGGACCCCGAGACCACAACCTAAGCTGAAGGCAGAGGCTTAACCCATTGAGCCACCCAGGCGCCCCCTGCTTCCTTTTATTTGCATTTACCTACTGTACTTTTGCCCATCTTTTGCTTTTAGCTTTTTGAAAGTTACCTTGTTTTGGGTGTGTCTCTGAATAGGTCTTGATTTGGGTTTGGGTATGTGATATAATCTGAAGGGTTTGTTTTAATTAGTAAATTTAGCCCATTTTTATCTATTTGATATGCAGACATATTTGATCTTAGTACATTTTATGGGTAGCTTTTGATTTAAGGCCTAGTGAAAAATCCTGTTTGTCCTCTCATTCTCTCTCTCTCTCTCCCTCCCGGTGTGTTTCTGGCTTGTGGCCCCCCACTGTGAGCAGTGATGAAATTAGGATAGTTCCTCTTCCTTCTCCTCCCTTCTCTCACAACACAACAATGTGAGTGTACTCGGTACTTAACTTTACAGTTAAAAATGGTTAAGATGGTACATTTTATGTTACTTTGCAACAATTAAGAAAAAGATTCCTGGTTTTAAAAGAAAAACCTTCCTTGTGAATTATTCATTTTATCATTATATTTTACTCTGTTTATTCCTGCTAATGCTTTTGGTCTAAGATTTTTATTTTGTCTGCTATTAACATAAGTACACCAGCTTTTTATAATTAAGATTGCTTGGTATATCTTTTTATTTCTGTTTTCTTTCAGGTTTCTATGCCCTTACTTTTGTCACTTGTCTCATAAATGGCATATAGCTGGATCTTGTGTGGGTGGTTTCTTCATTCAGTTTGAGACTCTGTCTTTTGAACTGGTGAATTTAATCCCATTTACATTTACTTCTATTATTGATACATTGGGATTTATTTCTATTTTGTGCATCCTGTTTACTGTGCCGCTTCTTTCCTGCTCTTCATCGCACCACCATTTCTTTTTAGCTTCTTTATTCCCTTTATTTCCTTTTATATCTTCTATTCTGATATTGTTTACTCTTAAATTTTTAACATCTATTTTCCTGACTTAACAGTCTAAATTTAATCAGCATCTCCCAAACAATACAGGGACCTTAGAATGGTTTAACACCCTCTCCTGCCTTATATGTGTGTTGTTATCCTCTGGTAATTTATTTCCACTTTATTTGTTTGTCTCTAAAAGCAGTCAGCATGGTGGTCATTACTGACAATTACTATTTTATACAGTCATTTCCTGTTTAGATTTACCCACATATTTAACGGTTCTCACTGTTGCTGCTTATATGTTGATCTTTCTTTCTGGATTCTGTTTTCTTCTTCCTGATCAAATTTCCTTGTTTCGTTTTCTTGTAGTAGTTCTCTCCGTAAAGAATCATTACTATAAGAAAACCATCATTTTTTCCTTTAAATAATGGCTTGCTCATTGCTTTCTGGTTTCTCTTGTGTTGAAAGTTCTGCTATAAGTTTAATTATCATTTAAGATATTGGTAATATCTACCCTATAATTGGTTGTACTATTTTTTTCCTTGTCTTTGGTGTTGTCCAAAGTCACTACCACAATCTAAATACAGATTTAGTTTTATTTGCTGTGCTGAAATCTGTGCTTTTTGCCTTCCATTAATTCCAGGGAAATTCCACATGATGTCTTCAAATATTCTCTCCCCTGTTCTTTTTAGTCTGTTCTCCAGCGACTGCTATTAAATGCATGTTTGGCATACTTATCACGTCCCTATGGGGATAACAGGGGCTATCTGTCCCCTGTTGCATGACTTTGACTTCATATTTTTATCTTTTTGTGTCTCTGCAATTAATTTTAAATAATTTCTTCATCTCTTTTTATCTTCTGAGCTGTGCCTATTCTTATGTTTATGCCATTTAATTTTTTATTTCAATGACTTTTTTCATGTTTTTCTCTTTTTACTCACTGTACTTTCAAAAATCTTTTGTTTTCAGTTCCTGCTTTATAACTTTATTTCAAGCATATTTGTTTGTCTTCTTAAAGATTTTATTTATTTATTTGACAGAGAGAGATCACAAGTAGGCAGAGAGGCAGGCAGGTTGGGGGAGGAAGCAGGATCCCCACCAAGCAGGGAGCCCGCTGTGAGCCGAAGGCAGAGGCTTTAACCTACTGAGCTACCCAGGCGTCCCTCAAGCATATTTATTTAATGGGTTTATTTCTACTAATCAAAGTTCCTGGAGGTGGTGACCTGCTGGTGTTTTTTTTTTCTTTTTTTCTTTAGATCTTCTCATCTTCATTCATAAAGATTGATTGTTCCCATGTATGTTTATATTTTTGGATCCTAAGCTTATCTTTAGTACGGTTTTGTCTTTTGAATCCCAGCATGGGATGGATGGAGGGTGTGTCCCTCCAGAGTGGCTTTGCAGTTGGCTGTGCCAGGTGTTTTAGGAATATCACAAGCTTAGAGCTAATTTTGAATTAATATCTCAGCTTAGCAGTTCGTGTAGGTAAGGGTAAAGTCAAACCCAAACCTGCCTGAGGACAGGCCCCTTTCCTCCAGCTGCCTCTGTAGCACCACAGGTGCATTTACTGAGTAGTTTAGCCTCAGACTCACAGACCAAAAAAAAGGCTGTCATCTACTATGGTGTCTTCATGTCATTGAGAGGCCCAGCAGCCACAGCCTCTGTTATCCTTTCTACCATTTAGGGTGTGTATGACTGTCACCCATGAGAGCCTCAAGTATCTGTAGGTCCCTTTGATACAGAAAAGTCATAGCTCCTTTTTACCATCAGTTTCCTTTTCCAATAAAAATTAGAAGGATTTTCATTTCCAAGCCTCTTTTGAGAAAGCAAGATTAATGCAATGAAAATCAGAACATCTAATTAACAAATTTAACCACAAACCAAAGAAATTTTGATGCATCAGTTAAACCATTTATCATAGGCCAGCAGCGTTTCAAATGATGGAGCGTCTACTGACCGTCTTTCAATTCCTTCAGACGCTCCTGTGAAGCCAGAAGCAGTGCTGTCGGTCCCGGCCCCACCCACTACAGTTTTCTTGTGGGAACCATGGTGCCAGATCCCCAGCGCTTTTCTTTTTGTCTTGGTTTTGCCACAGAAGGAACAAGTATTTGGCATGCTGGCTTATTTCCGTCCTCACCAGTTTCCTGAGGGAGGCACCATTGCAGAGCCCATGTTTACCGATGATTCTGACCTTCTTAGTACATTTAACCATGTCACCACAAACTAGGTCTGGGCCCAGGAGAGAGCTCCCACCAGTTTCCTTTTGTTTTTTAAATATGGAATGCTTCACGAATTTGCGTGTCAGCCTTGTGCAGGAGCCATGCTAACCTTCTTGTATCGTTCCAGTTTCAGTATATGTTCTCTGCATAGAGCCCCCTGCCAGTTTTATTCTACTGTGCTTGTCACCCCAAACCAGATGCAGTCCCACACAACAAAGGAAGCACACACAGCACTACCCATTTATGTTAACTGGCAGGTTCCCAGTTCCCACTGGAAACTACTGTGTGAAACCAAGGTCATTCTAAGGCTGGCTTGCTTCAGTCCAGGCCTAGTGTTAACCCTTTACGTTCAGGCTGAAAAACAGCTTGGATTCTATGGGGTTCTCAGTTCTAACTTTCCACTCTGTCTTCTGCCCTGCCTGAATATTAGAATCCCTCCATTACCAAGACTGCCTGCTCCGAGCTTCCTTCACCAAGGGCAGGCTCAGGGTATCACCCTTTGTTTTTGGCCCTGGTAATTCCTCTTGCTTCCTTGAGAAGTTCATTTCAGCTTTCGGTTTGAAAAGATGTTTGCTCCGCCTTATCAAGCATTTGCAGATATTTTTAACATTTCTAAGTATTAATAGAAGATTTTCAAGTTATCTAATCCAAAATATTATATTAGAAGAAAGTTTGAAACAACTCAAACAGTCTGAATTCAAATTCTGACACCCCTTTTCAGCAGTATAATCTTTGGCAAGATACTTGGCCTCCATGAACTTACTCCCAGCATGGTGTCAGGATATTAATACCCACCTCAGGGTGTTGTGGTGAGATTGAATTATTACCAAAGGTAAAGCTCAGAAGCCCTACCATGGTTTCCAAATTTCTGACCCAGCCCCAGCCGAAGACTTCCATGTCTTCTCCCACTTTCCAGACATACTCCAGTATAATAAACTACTTGTTCATCCTAAATTCTTCTTCTTTCTGCCTCCCAAGACTTCATACACTGTGTTCTTTTTTCTTGAACATTCTCCTCCCTTGTTCACCTTCTCCCTAACTCTTGTACTAACCCTTCATCCCTAACCTTAGATATCAGTTCCTCTGTCCCTGCCAATCTCCAAGCCTGGGGTAGGGCCTGTGAGAGCCCCACGTTCTCCTATAACACTTAACATTTGCCATCACAGTTGTTTACTTGTCTGAACATACTTTAGGGGAAGGATTTTGGCTGTTTTGCTCACCATTATATCCCCAGCTCCTAATAAAGAGCCTGGCACACAGCTCAATACATGGTAGTTATTATTTTTATCAGCACCTTCATCTGTCATAATTCTCAAATGTCTGATCGTTGTATAAATAACTCTTAAGTATGCCAAGAAGCTTAGAGTTAAGTTACAAGACCGACAAGGGCATGCATTGTTTCAGAGCCACATTTTCGGCCTTTGTTTTTCACTTATTCAGTCATTTATCCTTTCATACTAGGAACTTACCCAGGAGTGTGATGAAAAGAAATCCCAGTATGATAGCTGTGCAGCAGGCCTCGAAAGCAATCGATCCAAATTAGAACAGGTAAGAAGATGGTTTTTATCTTAACAATTTGGCATAAACTGCCTATGCATGAATGTTTTCATTACATCAACATCAAAAGTTTCCCAAATCTGGACCCTCATCCCTTGAGCCAGTCTCCTAAGCTCCAGAGATCTTTTATTTCTTCAGACTCGATATGTATATACTGAATTCTCTGTACCACACCCACCAAACTCCAGGCCCTCATCATGCAGCTCCTGGAGTCCCACAATAACCCAGACCTGCTCTCCCACTTCCACCCTCTCCTTCCTGAGGTTTTTTCCTCCATAGAGAGCCAAAGAAACCTCTAGAAAACTTAGGCCACCCTTCACTGTCTTCCCATTGCACTTGAAATCTAACTTCCAAACTATGGTCTACAAAGCCCACCTGCCTCTTAAACTTCATGTCCATGTGCTCTGCTCCTCATCCACACGGCCGCAGCCACACTGGCCACCTTCTTGTACATCAAACAGGCCAAGCTTGTTTTCACCTCCTGGCTTTTGTTTGTGCTCTTCTCCCTCTGGGACACTTTGCTTCCAACTCTTTGCCTTGAATCTCTCCTTTTTATCATCAGGTAGCCTAAACGTTACTTCTTCCTAGAGGTCTTCTCTGATCACACTTATGTCTGTTTTCTCTATTTGAATGAGAGCAGGAATCTGTAGTCTCGTTCACTGCTGTGTCCCCAGCACCTAGCACAGAGTTGGGCACGCAGAAGGTACTTAATAAGTGAATAACTGAATCTGTAGGTTTTAGAGTGATATGAATAGTCTCTAGAAAAGATTGCAATCTAGTCTGTTATGGTAAACAAAGTTGTAATCACGAAGAAATTACACTGATGGTGTTTTGTTGTACATTTAAAGTTATCCTCTCTGTGTTTGATTATTATTCTTTCAATAATGTTGCCCATTTAAAATTATATATTGCAGGAAGTCAGGGGACTCCGTGAAGAATGTCTTCAAGAAGAAAGTAGATACCATTACACAAATTGTATGATTAAGGTAAACAAAGAAGATGGACCAAAAACTTTCTGAGATCTTTCTGTATCAAGGACTTAACCAAACACTTGGTCTTTCCACTTAGAACCTAGAAATACAGCTTCGTCGAGCTACCGATGAGATGAAAGCCTATGTCTCTTCTGATCAGCAAGAAAAAAGAAAGGCAATTAGGCAAGTAATTTTGTTGTTTCTATATTGAGTTACTTCATGTTTTCCTCTATAGAAGATTTTTTTACTAAATTTTTTATTTAAATTCCGGAATAGTTAATATACAGTGTTCATTTAGTTTCAGGTATACAATCCAGTGATTCAGCAATTTTATACATTACTCAGTGCTCGTCATGATAGGTATACTCTTAATCCCCATTACCTATTTCACCCATCCCTCCACGTGCTTCCCCTATGGTAACCGTCCGTGTGTTCTTTATAGTTAAGAGTCTGTTTCTTGGTTTGTCTCTCTCTCTCTCTCTTTTTTTCCCCTTTGTTCATTTGTTTCTTAAATTCCACATATGAGTGAAATCAAATGATATTTGTCTTTCTCTGACTGGCTTATTTCACTTAGTGTTATACTCTCTACCTCCATCTATGTTGTTACAAATGGCAAGATTTCGTTGTTTTATGGCTGTCACCTTTAGAAGTTTTATAAACAAGATGGAGTTGCTAAACTACTAAGATTGCAAGTACTTAAATAAGCAGATACTAAGATATTGCTTAGGATTAAATCTTGTTAAACATCTTCCAGATAGTCCAGCCCTACTAAGTAGAAATACACATAATTTTCTTGCTGGCTTGCTTACTTTTTTTTTTTTAATCATGGCATAAAAACCCCATATAACATAAAATTTGCCATTTTTACCAGTTTTAAGTGTATAATTCAGTTGCATTGACATTCACAATGTTGTGCAGCAATCACTAGTATATATAATTCCAACCCTTTTTCCTCACTCCGATCAGAAACTCTTGTAATCATTAAACAGTAACTCCCCATTCTCTCCTCCCCAGAAATACATATAATTTCATGGTTCCTTTTTTATAAGCACTAAGATTGGCCTATTTTTAAAGTCCCACATGGCCTGGACTCTAGTCATCTGCCTGCTCATTGTGTCATGTGTGAGTGTGTTTCAGCTAGAAGCTGTGTGTTTGCAGTGTGCCAGCCTTCAAAACAAGGAAGGGTGTGTAAATACCACCAGTCCTTATATGGTGATTTTTTGGTAATCCAAGATTACAGCATACAGTAATAAATCAAATGCTGCCTGAAAAAAAATGCATTTATGTTTGAATTGCTAGTTGTGACAAAATGCAGTAATTGAATAAGATAAGCTTTCTTTGCCCCTTACCACAATTCAGATGTTTCACTTTTACCATCCAGTAAGAGCTCAAAACAGATTCACATTTATTCTAGATTGTACTTGAGATTTTTAGTGGCATTTACATTAATGTTACAAAAAGGAAATCTAATAAATGGAATGTTGCAGAGTCTAATTTTTTAAGTATATAATGCACTGGAATGCAAGCCAGACTGAACATGTCCTATAAATAGAACAATTTTTCTTCTAATACTCTGACATATTAAACATATTAAATGTACTTATTCACATTCTTTCATTGAATGTAACCTTTGCTCAAATAAATCTGTATGGTCAGTGGTAATATTTTACAAATGTGAGAAATTACATTTATCCTTAAAAAAAAAGTTGTAGAAATTAATTTTCATTTCTTCCAAAGTTACAGTATAAGTAGTAAAGAAGGTAATATTGCCCCTGAACTATTGGTTTTCTGGCCAGATACTCTTCTTCATCATTTTAAAAATCATCATAAAGCTGTACCATTCCTTTGTTTTCCTATAGAAAAGATATTTTTCCCTGGCTAGAGTAGTACCTAGGAATATTATGAATAAAATGGAGTTAATTGTACTCTAAATTCATTGATATGTATTTAAAATATTATTATTATTATAGACACAATATTTTTATTATTATCCCATTTTCTACTTTTATGATACTTTCAAGTAAGACCAATGGTCTAAGGAATTAGCATGACTTTGAAAGATTGCAAATTTTTATTTAAAGAGGCAGGATGTTTTATTTTGAAGTACTAAAGAGGGACTCATAAAATTTCTTTCTAGCCCGTTTTTTCCAGTTCTGAGTTTTGTGACCTTGGGCAAATCATTTCTTCACCTATAAAATAAGGAAAACAATTTATACCACCGAAGATCAAGTTAAATATAATGCATGTAGCAGTGTTTTAGAAATTACATAGTATGAACTCCTAGAGGACAAGGACTCTGTCTTGTTTTCTTCCTGAAACCCCAGGGCATGCTTGGTACATAACAGGTGCTCCATAATTATTTCTTGAATGAATTCATCAAATAAATTTTAAAATTACACATTAGCGTTATATGGTAAAAGAACATGAGCCTTAAGATGTCTTGATTAAATACAGATGGAAATTCTAGGGCGCCTGGGTAGCTCAGTGGGTTAAGCCTCTGCCTTCTGCTCAAGTCATGATCTCGGGGTCCTGAGATCGAGCCCCCCATCGGGCTCTCTGCTCAGCAGGGAGCCTGCTTTCCCCCACCCTTTCTGCCTGCCTTTCTGCCTTCTTGTGATATGTCTGTCAAATAAATAAAAATCTTTTTAAAAAACCCAATAAATATAGATGGAAATTCTAAAACAGTTTGGACATTTCGCAGTTCTAGGGTAATAAATGAATTATTTAAAGCTATCCAAACTTGGGGTGTCTGGGTTGCTCAGCAAGTTAAGCTGCCGACTCTTGATTTTGGTTCAGGTCATGATCTCAGGGTTGTGAGATCAAGCCCCAGGAGCCTGCTTAAGAGTCTCTCTCTCTTCCCCACCCCCCCTCCAATACATACATACATACATCTATCTGAACTTATTTTTTTTTAAAGAATATATCATTTATATTCTCCTAGCTATTTTTCACTGGAGAGCTAGAAAGTTAAACAGGTTGACTTAGTGCCTCATAAATTTTAAAGTCAAAATAAAGTTTCCTCAAGATTGTGTTTATTCTTTTCCACCCTCATTTCCATATCTAAATTCTGCCTTCAATTCAGCTCTATAAGGACTTTGAGTATTTTTTTTATATTTATTGGTTTATATGAGAGAGAGTGGGGGCAGGGAGAGGGGGAGAGGGAGAGAAAGCCTCAAGCAGACTCCACATGAGCACGGGGACCCTTGCAGTGCTGGATCCCAGGACCCCGAGGTAATGACTTCAGCCAAAACCAAGAGTCAGGCGCTTAATCAACTGAGCCACTCAGGCATCCCAAGGACTAGGGGTACTTTTGATTCCCACATCGCTCCAGTCTAGTCACATTTACCTCTCTTTTTGCATGAATGCAGATCTTCCTTCTTTTAAGCTGCTGGAATTTCTCTTTGTGGTTTATGAGTTCTTAGATTTCCAGTTATGTGTTATTTAACTTCTTACTTACTACAATGTAGCTTTATACAGAAACACTGTCTTTTTCTGTTTAGATTTGAGGTCTAAAGTCTCTTGTATCTTCTTTGTCATTGGTCCCTTTGTCCTCATGCTTCGACCTTTGTCCTTAACACTTTATATATCACTTTTTGTTTTGTGGAGTATTACAATATAATTATACTTTTGGGGCACCTGGCTGGTTCAGTTGGTAGAGTGCATGAGTCTTGATCTTGGAGTTATAGGTTTCAGCCCTACATTGTGTGTGGAGACTACTTAAAAAAAAATTTTAAATCATAAAATATAATATATATGTATAATTATACTTTTGTTTAAAAACAGTGCAATGTTATTTGTTTTTTTAATTTTTATTTGAAAATTACAGGTTTTTTAGTTTATGAAAGAAATACTTATAAACACAATAGTAACCATTATGAAGTATAGTACACAAAAACTGAATGTTGCCCACATTCCATGCCTCAGAAATGCCTATTGTTAATATTTTCATGTAGGAGCACCTGGGTGGTTCAGTCAGTTGAGCATCTGACTCTCGATTTTGGCTCAGGTCATGATCTCAGGGTTGTGAGATCAAGCCCCATGCAGGGCTTCATGCTCAGCAGAGAGTCTGCTCATCCCTCTCTGTCTGCTTCTACCCCCACATGTACTCTGTATCTCTCTCAAGTAAATAAAATATTTTTAAAAATAAAAATATTTTGGTGTATAATTACTCCATATTCTTTTCCCATGCATTTGCATGTGTGTGTGTTAACAAGTGCATGGGAAAATTTTATGTGTGTGTGCATACAAAAATCAGGTTAAACTACATATACAGTTTTTCTCTTAATTATATGTCTAAAATTCTATTTCAGGGCGCCTGGGTGGCTCAGTGGGTTAAGGCCTCTGCCTTCGGCTTGGGCCCTGATCCCAGGGTCCTGGGATCAAGCCCTGAGTCAGGCTTTCTGCTCAGCAGGGAACCTGCTTCCTCCTCTCTCTCTTCCTGCCTCTCTGCCTACTTGTGATCTATCTGTCAAATAAATAAATAAAAATCTTTAAAAATTGTTTTTAAAAATTCTATTTCAGTATTTATAGATCTACTCCCTCCTTTTTATAACTCTGTATTATTCCTTTGAATGGATGTGCCATAATTTATTTAAATATTTCCCCATCTATTGACATCTAACTCTGTTTGCAGATCTTCACTATTAAAAGCAATGGTGAAGTAAATAGTCTTTACGTTTATCTAAAGTTCTGAGAGTTTTTCTTTAGGATGACTGCCTAGAAGTAACATTGCAGGATTATATGTTATTTAATGTTTATTTAAAATGTTTATCCTTTCTCCTTTCTACAAACCTCTTCAAAAATAAAGTGTGACTAGGGTGCCTGGCTGGCATACTCAGAAAAGCATGCAACTCTATCTCTGAGCTGAGTTTGAGCCCCACATTGGGTGATGAGATTACCTAAATAAATTAAAACTTTAAAAAATAATAAAAAAAAAAATAAAATGTGGCTTAAGCAAGAGTGTTACCATTGTTTTAAGTGTAAATTAACCAGAAATAGTACTTAACATTTTAGTTCTCTTAATTTCTTATGCAGTGGTTTGTGGGTTTTTCCCCATAAATTACTATTTACTAGAAGAACTGACTAAAGATGGGGAAAGAGAGTGTAATGATTTTCATTCTGATTCCAGTACTCTAACCTATCTATATTGTCTAATATATTTAGATTGACAAGTTAATTTATAATTTAGTTGCATGATCAAATCAACTGAGGTAAATTGAAACTAAATCATTATGTTTATCCCCTAGGGAGCAGTATACAAAAAATATTGCTGAACAGGAAAACCTTGGAAAGGTAAGAATGTATTATTTATTTTTTTTAATTGTGTCTAATTCAGGCTTTCAGTATGTGGTTTTGACATTGTCATTCTTTTTAAAGGGTTATAGTACAGTTTTCAAAGGGAAATTGGATCTTAATCTCTTGCAAAGATGAAGACTCTTCTTTAGAAATTTATGTGTGTGTGCATATAAAAGTGAAGGGACATGGATTTTTGGAGAAAAATCTAGTTTTGTTTAGGGAGGAGTTTATGAGAAGTTTCTGAATAAGAAACAAAACTGCCACATTTAATGAACTACAAGTTTTCAGATAATTCTCAGGTATCTCTTTATTAGATAAGTACAAGTTCATTTATTTAATAAACACAAAGCTAATTACTATTAACTGGACACTGTTCCATGACCTTTACAAGCACTGATTCATCAAAAAACCTTCCTTTTCATATTCAGCTCCTTCCCTGCCAGTCTCACGAAAGCAGGCATATGCTTATGTGATTAATCTTATTTTCCAGTTCTCTGAGCCATTCCTAGTAGAAGAGGTGGTAGATAGTAAAGGTCTTGAACATCAGGGCTTCAGTGACCCAATTCACTGATTATTTTAACTGGCTTCATAAAGCAACACATTTGGACAATCATTTTAAAGACACCAGTTCTGTCATTGTTTTTTTTGTTTTTTTTAAAGATCTGAATTTATCAACAACTCAGGGCCAGTGTCCTTATTTACATTTTCTTTTTTTTTTTTTAATGTTTTTTGAGGGGCACCTGGGTGGCTCAGTGGGTTAAAAGCCTCTGCCTTCGGCTCGGGTCATGATCCCAGGATCCTGGGATCGAGCCCCGCATCAGGCGCTCTGCTCAGCAGGGAGCCTGTTTCCTCCTCTCTCTCTCTGCCTGCATCTCTGCCTACTTGTGATCTCTGTCCGTCAAATAAATAAATAAAATCTTTAAAAAAAAAAAGTTTTTTGAGAGAGAGTGCAAATGGGGGGGAGGGGCAGAGGGAGAGGGAGAGAGAGAGAGAATTTTAAGCATGCTCCACATTCAGCATGGAGCCCAATGTGGGGCTGAAGTTTGTAACCCTGAGATCACGACTTGAGCTGAAATCAACAGCTGGGTGCCCAACCAACCACGCAAACACTCCTCCCCTTTTTTTTTTTTTTTTAAGTTTTATTTTTTTGTGGGAGAGGCACAGCGAGAGAGGAAGAAAGAATCTTAAAACAGACTCTATGCTGAGTACAGAGCCTGATGTGGGGCTCAATCACATGACCCTGAGATCACAGCCTGAGCAAAACTAAGAGTCAGTTGCTCAACCAACTGCGCCACCCAAGAGCCCCTTTATTTACATTTTCTAATTTGAATTATTATTAAAAACATACATGTATGTATGTATGCTTTTACATACGTGCTGTAATAGCTCCCATAAACCTGTAAGTAATATTCTAAAGTTAAACTTCAGGGAAAAAATTGTATGGAAAACAATGGCATGACTTTTTTTTTCAAAGATTTTATTTACTTTTTTGGGAGAGTGAGCGAGAGAATACGAGCAGGGGGAGAGGGAAAGGCAGAGGGAGAGGGAGAAGCAGACTCCCTGCTGAGCAGGTGCCCAACAATGGCATCATTATTAAGTACACTTTCATAAAGTGTTTTGAAAAAGACTCTTAAAAACTAAATAATGTATAAAGACATTTAGTATAGAAAATTTCAAGCTTTATAAGTAAATAATGTAATGAATTCATGTGTAACCATCACCCACCTTCGTTATTACACTCATGACCAGTCAGTTAAGCATCTGCCTTCAGGTCAGGTCATGATCCCGGGGTACTGCAATCAAGCCCCGCATTGGGCTCCCTGCTCAGCAGAGAGCCTACTCCTCCCCCTCCCGCCACCCTTCCCCTTCCTTGTGCTCTCTCTCCCTCACTCTCTCTCAAATAAGTAAGTAAGTAAGTCAATAAATAAGTAAAATCAAAAAAAAAAAAAAAAAGAAAGGAAACCTTAAAGCTGATTTCCTCCATTCTAGTAGAGAAATTGTGTGTTCTGTGCACCCTCTTCCCTTTATGGGATGACATGCCATACTCGAAAGGAAAAAAAGAACTAAGTTCATGCTTGAAAACACATATTTGAATCAAGTTGTAAGCATTCATAGAGATTTTTGGGTTTTAGGATTTAGTATGATTGTCAATAATTTGCTTTCCTCTAAACATTTCATATGTTAGGTAATGTATTTTTTCATATGAAAACATTTCTCTATTTTATTTTGAAAAGTATGTGGATGGATGCTTTGTGTAGAGAAATATTTATCAAATCTGAATCCTTTTAAAGACCCAAATGTAGTTGCTAAATCTAAATAAAGATTATTCTTTCACCTTCCAGGGTGGTGTTTTATTGCAGGGTCTTTGCAAAAAGGTAACAGCACTCTGACAAGTATATTTTGGCAAAAGGAGACATTGATCAGCTCATGCCCCAATCGTCAGTCTGTATCATTTAAGAAACAAAGTTCCTCAGTCCTCTCATTCCTAGAGTAGATCTAATTTTTTTTCTTTCCAAATGCTCTTTCTTTTTTTTTTCATTTTTTAAAATTAAAATCAATTAACATATAGTATATTATTGGTTTCAGAGGTGGAGGTCAGTGATTCATCAGTCTTACATAACACTCAGGGCTCATTACATCATGTGCCCTCCTTAATGTTCAACACCCAATTACCCATCCCCCTACCTCTCCCTTCCAGCAACCCTCAGTTTGTTTCCCATGATTATGAGTCTCTTGACCGGGGGGTGGGGTGGGGGGGGAGTCTCTTATGGTTTGTCTCCCTCTCTGGTTTCATATTTTATTTTTTCCTCTCTTCCCCTGTGATCCGCTGTTTTAATTCCACATACCAGTGAGATAGAGTAGATCTAAATTTTTAAGGAAAACACCAAACCTAGCCTTTAAAAGTGATGATAGCCTAAGTCTTCCAAACCAGCATAGACTGGACATCCATAGACCTCCTCAGGCCAACCTGCTTTCTGGAATTAAACCAGCCTATAGTGCTGCAGTTCACACTACCATACACTAGAATTTGCTTTCCTAAGTACTGTGGAGTACTGTGCTGAAGGTTACAACTCTCCTCACCCCCACTATATCACCTCCCCTTTAAAGAATCCTGAAATCTGTGACAAGTATTCTTCTACATTGTAACTATCAACAAAATAAATCTGTATCAAGTCACAGTAACATTAAAAATAAATTATATAGGGGCGCCTGGGTGGCTCAGTGGGTTGGGCCTCTGCCTTCGGCTCAGGTCATGGTCTCAGGGTCCTGGGATCGAGCCCCACATCGGGCTCTCTGCTCAGCAGAGAGCCTGCTTCCCTTCCTCTCTCTCTCTCTGCCTGCCTCTCTGCCTACTTGTGATCTCTGTCTGTCAAATAACTCAATCTTTAAAAAAATAAATAAATAAATTATATACTAAGGCGGTTGTATACAAAAAGTTAAAGGTTTCAAACACACACGGTTATGAAGCACATTAAATTCAATATTGCTCACACAGACAGTGCCCACATGCAGTCTTCAGTTTCTTTAAATAACTTATAGGTTGTTAGGATTTTTGACAAGGAAATTATTCCAGTGATATAAGAAAATTTATAGTTAAGTAGTACCTTAATCTTAAAATCATGCTAAGAACTCTTAAAATTCTGGATCTGTCTTACTACTTTTGTTTTAGTTCATGAAGATAAAAATGTTTGTTTTAAGATAATTTATTTTTAAGGTTTGTTTTTTTTTAAGATTTTACTTATTTGACAGAGAGAGACACAGCAAGAGAGGGAGCACAAGCAGTGAAAAAAGGGAGAGGAAGAGGGAGAAGCAGGCTTCCCGCTGAGCAGGGAGCCCAATGCTCCCAGAAATCATGACCTGAGCTGAAGGCAGATGCTTGACCAACTGAGCCACCCAGGCATCCCTGTTTTTAAGTTTTTGTTTAAATTCCAGTTAGTTAACATATGGTGTAATATTAGTTTCAGGTGGACAGTAGTGATTCAACACTTCCATACAACACCCAGTGCTCTTCACAAGTGCCCTCCTTACTCCGCATCAACTATTCAGCCCATCCTCCCACCCCCCTCCCTTCTGGTAACCACCAGTTTGTTCTCTACAGTTCAGAGTCTGTTTCTTGGTTCGCCTTTCTTACTCTTTTTTTTTTTTTTTTTTTTTTTTTTTTTGGTAACACAGACTTAAATAGATGTATTTGCATTCCAGGTATTGTGTCAAAACTTTGCTAGTTACATTTAAATTCTGTTTTCTTTTTGTTTATATTTTATTTGTTTTTGAGAGAAAGAAAGCCTGGGCGCAAGCACAAGCAAGGGGAAGGGGCAGAAGCAGAATCCCTGATAAGCAGGGAGCCCCTACATGGGGGCTCAATCAGTAGGCCCCTGGGATCATGACCTGGGCTGAAGGCAAGCACTTAACTGACTGAGCCACCCAGTAACCCCTAAATTCTATTTTTTTTAAAGATTTTATTTATTTATTTGACAGAGATCACAAGTAGGCAGAGAGGCAGGCGGGGGTGGGGGGTGGGGTGGGAAGCAGGCTCCCCGCTGAGCAGAGAGCCCTGCAGGACTCAATCCCAGGACCCTGAGATCATGACCTAAGCCGAAGGCAGAGGCTTAACCCACTGAGCCGCCGAGGCACCTGTATTTTCTTAATTCTGCATTGTTTCCTGTTGCTGTTTGCTGTTAACTTTGCTTTCATTAGCCATGGCTGAGGAGGGCAGTTTTGAATCTGGTCCTAAGCTTAGTTTAGCCTCTTATTTGGGCAAGTACCAAGGACGAGCCTTCTCATCTGTGTCCTTAGATCAACTATTAGATGAACCGTATACAATAGAGGAAAGGATGGGGACATTTCTGTGTGACCTGCTTCCGTGTCTTTGCTTATTTTTCTGTCCTTGGTGATTTCTCACACTCAGTGTTACTGTGTACATTTCTGTCACACTGTTTCCTGATGTGTGTACTCTCATCATCTTTGTTTTCCCCTGACTACCCACCTGCCTTCCTTTCCCTCTTTCTTCCTTCCTCTCATTATCTCTGACTTTCTGCTATGCCTCTTTTCAGTCACCCTTTCTGAATTTGCCCTAATACAGGACCAAAGTATATTTTTATAATTCAATGAGACATTTTCTTATTCCTGTTTATAATTTTAGAGTCTGTGAGTAGAACAGTTTTGACAGATGGAATCACGTAGGCTATTAGTAACAAAAGTAATTCTGGGGGCACCTGGCTGACTTGGTTGGTAGAGCATGAGACTCTGAATCTCAGGGCTGTGAGTTCAAGCCCCACGCTGGGCATGGAGCCTACTTAAAAATAAATAAAAATAAAAACAACTCTGATAAGGATATGGCTTATTTAATAGTGTACTTTTTTAAAAATCACAAAACCGTCTTCCTGAAGAATATATGCATACAATTTTATTTATTTGGGTGCACATAGTGCACACAAAAATTCAGGAAAGAATATGCTATTTAATAATAATAACAATGTATAACATATGGTAGTTTATCAAGTATTTCCAGATCTATTATGTCATGTAAAAAAATAACCTATGGGGCCCCTGGGTGGCTCAGTCGGTTAAGCAACTGCCTTCAGCTCAGGTTATGATCCCCAGGTCCTGGGATGGAGCCCTGAGTCAGGTGCCCTACTCAGCAGGGAGTCTGCTTCTCCCTCTGCCTTACCCCCTGCTCATGCTTTCTCTCACTCTCTTGCTCATGTTCTCTCTCTCAAATAAATAAATAAAATCTTTAAAAATAATTACAATAATCTTATAAGGTAGATAATTTTATATCATTATCCCCTTTTATTACCCTTAATTGACAATTGAGAGAAGTGAGGTCCAGAGAAATTGTCTTACAGCTCGTGACAAAGCCAAGTTTGAAACAAAAGTCTTCGGACTGCAAAATCTGCATTCTTTTTCCCATACCATGATACTGTTCCATTTTCCTGATTCCCTTTATTTTCCCCTCCCTTTCTTTTATATTTTTCTATTCTTTTTAACTTCAAGCTTCCTGCATCTTTCATCAGTTTAACTTTTATCATCTTAGCTTTCATACATCTCAGAAGAACTGGTTTAGTTCACTGTTACTCATTAGATGTACAAAAAGCAGACCATGTTCTTCTGATGATAGCAATAGAAGTAAATCCCTGCAACTGAGATTTAATCATTCTTGATTTTTTTTTTTTTTTTTTATGGTAGAAACTCCGAGAAAAACAAAAAGCTGTACGAGAAAGTCATGGTCCAAATATGAAACAAGCGAAAATGTGGCGTGATTTTGAGCAGTTGATGGAATGTAAGAAACAGTGCTTTCTGAAACAACAAAGCCAAACTCCCATGGGTCAGGTAATTCAGGAGGGCGGGGAAGACCGGCTGGTGCTCTGAATCTGTGTGCCATCATGTGGGGTTTTAGTTGATACTACTAGATATAAGCATAATCCCGTAATTTATTTCTTTTCTGGAAAGTGATTTGTACAACATTCTGTTTTCAGGTTAACCATTCCTATTAAGTTGCCTTGGAAGGTAATGTTAAGGTAGATTTAGGTTTTAAAGTTTTTTAATATGAAAAACGGCTTTTATTGTTTTGCTTAGTTTAGAGATTAGCGGTGTCTTAGGAGTTTTATGAGACAGGAGACTAAATTTACTCTCTGTAAATGTAAACATATGTCCATTAAGAAGCGTGTAGTTTTTTAAAAATGTAATAACCCGATGGCTTAATGTTCTTAATCTTTTTTTTAACTTTAGAGGAATCTTTTAGGAACTAATATCTCTTGTTTTGAAGAAACATTTATCTGAAGTTCAGCAATTCCTACAGTTTCAATTCAGTTTCTCTTTCTTCTGTAAAATTCAAGAAAATTTGCTATTTTGAATAACATATTTGTTCTGTCTGAATTATTTAAAGGCAAATAAAACTTGATGTACGTATGTATGATGACTATTTATTTTTGAATTATATAGCTGTGTCAAATTATTTTTTTTAACTATTCATGTTATAATATTGTATTAAATTTGAGGATTATCACTTATTTTCACCCAAAATCTAATATAGTATTTAGGTCTTGAGGACTTTTATTTTAAATATAAAAAGTAGTCATAGAATATAGAAATTATCATGTGGTAAAAAGCTACAGTAGGATTCCAAGTGAAATTCAAGCATCCAAAGTGCTTCTGATTTCTGCTTCATTTGGACAGGGTACTTGAAGATTTCTTTTATTATTCCTTAAAGAAAGATACTAAATTCATATGCTACCTTGTACTTCATTTCAGTTTCATTATACTTTTTAAAATGTCTTCCTTTAAGGGTGTCTAGATGGTGCAGTTGATTAAGTATCTGACTCTTGGTTTCAGCTCAGGTCATGATCTCAGGGTCCTGAGATCAAGCCCCGCATCAGGCTCCACGCTCAGCACAGTCTTCTTGGAACTTCCTCTCTGTACACTCCTCTACCCTGTCCTTGCTTTCTCTTTCTCTCTCTCTCTAAAATTTAAAAAAAAAAAAAATTCTTTAAAAAAATGTCTTCTCTTTAGATTTGAAAAACTCCGATTTCAAATCATTAGCATGTCCATCTTGGGTTAGTAATTCTCGGTAGCTATCCTGGGGATGGCAGTGAGAGGCAAAGAACATTTCAGTGAAGAAAGTTGTTTCTACCCCATGCAAAACATGCGAACTTGATTATGACTTTGGATCTTTTTGTTTCCAAGTGTGTTCTACTCTTACTTTATGTTTGAAAGCTTCTTCCTTGGTAATTGGATAAACTTACCAACAGGGAGAGTATTGGTAACTCTAGAAGCTATGGCAAGAAAAGATTAGCTCCATCAGAGCAAAGAAGAACTTACCAAGAAAGTGTGGAAAGAAACTTTCTTTTAATAAATTTCAAGAAAAAAAAGAAGACTTTTAATATTATTATTATTATGTGGTTTCAGTCTGGTTCTTAGCTTACTTTAGCCTCTTATTTGGTCAAGTATCAGCTACCAGAATTCTTATTTGTGCCTTTAGATCAACAACTAGATCCACCAGATATTAAACGAGGGAAGGCTGTGTTTCAGTGTGGAAACAAACCTTTCTTAATTCAATAAATCAGTTTTTGAACACTGAGGTAGTTGTATTTATTCAGTGTCGGCTACTGGCTTGTTATTTTTAAGCCAGTGGCAAGTGATGTTCCTTTAACCAGAATATGAATTCCTTTGCAAGTATTTGAAAAAGACTAGAAGTCCCTCACAGAAATGAAACAGCATTTTATTCCCATAGGGAAAGTCAGCTTCTAAGATTATTAAGCTTGGTGATTAATTTTTTTAGCCTTCACTATTCTTGCTGCTCTTCTCTTAATTTTAAAAATCATTAATGACAGATACTCCAAGGAATGCTTATAATTCTGATTTGATTATTGCTTGCCATCTTTATTCCACACAGAAAGAATATGTGGATTAAACACTAGGCAGCTCCAAAATTACTTTATTAACTGAAGCAGAACATCATTATTACTTCAAGAAAAGCAAATTGAAAAAAAAACCTGAGAGTACAAAGTTATTTATAGTTTTTATGTAACATTGGACATTTAGTAATGCATCTTAATGGGTTTTATACAGTGACTTTCCGCTCATTTTGTGATTTGATTGGAACATTAAAAAGCTCTGACTAACTCTGACAGTTTTTGACAGCTGGCAATTACAGAAGAGCTTATTGCATTTTTCCTTCAGGATTGATACTCTAGCTGGCTAATTGATGAGAGTACTTAATCATTTTGGAAAATAATCTGTCTTCCACATGATGGCCCAAATAAAGAAGAAGAATGTAGCCTGTGAAATCTGCTTTTGGGTTCATGGATTTGCTCCTCCTAGGACTCGGTGTTGCCAACTGTTGCATGGGACTGACTATATAAACTGTAAATTTCAAAAGGCCACTGCTTATCTTGTGTTCTATATTAGTTCAGGAAATAATCCAACTTTAAAGGTTGTCCTTTAAGAACAATCTTATAATAGGATAATATCTTTTTAATATCTAAATCCAAGATCATGTATTTTTCCGGTCCAGAGAGTGTACCAGAAGGGTCTTAGAACATTGTTCAAAGGCTTGTGGAAATCAAACCAGATCTTGGAAATTACAGAACACTTAACTTTCTTCTTTAGATTAATACTTTCTATCATTTTGCTTTAGTTCAGTAGGCAGCAATAGTAAAAGGAGCCATTTCGTTAAACTGTCAAATCCAAATGTATCATTCTGCCTTGTTAGTTTATATAACATATATAAATTTTCTGGAAAATTTTTAGGTCTGTGCATATTCCAAGTATGATTATTTCTTAACTTTTTAGGCTAACATGATACAGAGCACCTTTTGGTAATTGGACTAAAAAGAAGAAACTGAATTTGTTGCTCAACTAAAAATACACAAATGTGCTGAATGCTTCTGAATTGAATTTGAAAATATGCACAAACGCATAACTTGCCAAAGCTGCCTTTACAAAGGCAAAATCCAGTTTGTATTGAAAAGTGACTTCCTATGGAGATGTGTGTCTTATAGAAACCTCTCTGTCATACACAGGCATATACCCTACAGTTAGTGACTAACAAGCATGAATCAAAGGCTTGTTTCTACAAATGGTTCTAGGCGCTTACATCATTCCTCTTGTTTGGCATGAAGGAGTGTTTAGCCCTAGGGAGTGGGTAAGTAAGCAGCCTGATGATTAACTTCCATTAAACCTGGTTATTTTAATAACTTATACATTGTAGTGAAAGTAAGATCTAGATTGTGTATACAAGGAATCCTTCATTTTTAAACAATCTGTGGCAGCCAGGAGATTTTTTTTTTAAAGTTGCACTTTTATTAAATATGTAATTGTGTCTCTACCCAGAAGGAGCTGCTGGCTTAGCTCCTCCTCCCTTTCCTTTTAATGAGAACAGTTTAATTAGAGCTGTTTCGTGTATGGCAGCCAAGCATGAGGGAAGCATTTTATCCAGGAAGGATAGAGGTCATTCAGAGTTATCTGTATGTTTTCAATCTTTGACTCTCCTGTCTTAAGACAATATAAGAAAGAGTAAGTTGGCTGTAACTGTTATTCATTCCCATCCCAGCCTTATAAAAGAAATAAAAACTGAAACACAGAATCCAAACAAGTATTTTTTAAAAGATTTTATTTATTTATTTGACAGAGATCACAAGTAGGCAGAGAGGCAGGCAGAGAGAGAGGGGGAAGCAGGTTCCCCTCTGAGCAGAGAGCCCGATGGAGGGCTCCACCCCAGGACCCTGAGATCATGACCTGAACCGAAGGTAGAGGCTTTAACCCACTGAGCCACCCAGGTGCCCCCAAACAAGTATTTTTCAAAAGACTTGGACGAACATATGCTTTCTGCTCCCATGCTCCCTCTCTTGGCAAACTGGAAGTACTTTCTCAGCAAATGTAATTTCACAATTTCCTCTCTAGAATTGCCGAGAGCTTGAGTCACCAAACTCGGTTTACTGCTATGGAAATTCACTATTCAGATAGAACACAGGAGGAAATTAAGGAATTCTGTTTTTCAGTGACAGGATTAGTTCCCACCTCAGTTCAGAGGGTCCCAGCAGGGTCCTGGCAGGGCTGCTGCTCTCTGCCCTGTGCACGGTAACCTAGTAAAGAGCCGCGGCATTCTGGGGCTGGAAAGGAAGCTCAGAATAATTCGGGTAATCATGTATTAAATTGGGACCTTTGAGAGCTCTCTTTCACCCTCTCAACAGTGCAGAAATCAGCACTGCGCCGCTCGTAGCAAATCACTTTCCAGCCTCAGTGGAGTAACCGCAATGCGGCTCACTCCTCACGAGGGAGCCTGTCTCATTGTTAAAGAGCACCGCCTGATTAGTTTCTGGGTTCTAAAAATGAAGCAAACTTACAGAGGGAGGACATTTTTTTTAGAAACAGCAGTTTGGCAAAGTGAGACTGAACCAATTTTACTCCCTGAAGCTTTGTAATCATAATCATTATTGAGCACTTAGAATGGACCAGATACTGTCCTAAGTGCTTCATGTGTCTGAACTAATGGAACTCTCGCAATAACCCCAGGAGGTAAATACTATTATCTCCATTGAGTAGATGAGGAAGCAGGCACAGACAGGCTTCCACGGTATTAATGCAGCTACTAACTGTGGGCAGAGCCGGGGCCTAAAGCCTGTGCTCTTCACTCCTGTGCTGTATGAACTACAGTGCGACCCATGTATCAGACTCAGGCTGATGTCCATTTAATGAACTATAATATGTGTGAAATTAGAGCTCTTTCTTATTTTTTTAAAGATTTTATTTATTTATTTGACAGAGACAGAGAGAGGGCACACGCAGGCAGAGGGAGAGAGAGAAGCAGGCTCCCCACCAAGCTAGGAGCCTGATGCAGGACTCGATCCCAGGACCCCGGGATCATGACCTGAGCTGAAGGCAGCCGCCCAACCAACTGAGCCACCCAGGTGTCCCATAGAGTTCTTTTTTAAAAATGTGCTCACTTACTGTACCTAAGAGGAAAAAAAACTTTAGTAAATGAGTAAAAATGAATTCTACCATCCAGATATGGGAATTATGCTAAAAACGAGTGTCAAGAAAGAAGTAATACTTTAAGACATAGAACAAATGGAAGCTGTATCGGTTATAATTTAAATCTTTCTGTAAAAGTGTTAAAATCATATATGTCTTTTGTTGCTGGACATATACATAGATTCCAGTTTTTTTTTAATTTTGTGAACAATGCTGCAATGGAACTTAAAAACTGAAATACAATACAATACTTGAAATTTGAAATACAGTATTAAGCAAACCACTAAGTTTATTTAATTTGGTCAAATCCAGAATCCATTGAATTGTTTTATAGACATTTCTTGCCTTCCTCTATGAAAATGCCAAGGCTAAACCAAAGAAGTTAGCAAGATATTACTTGATTAATTGGAGAAGGAAATTGTAAAT